AAACACTTGCAAAGTTTCAAGTCAATATAACAGAAGTAGGTTAAATTCATCATTAGCTATTTTTCCACCCTTAGAGGTGATTTTTTTTTTTGAAATTTAAATGGGACCAATCTGGAGGTATACACTTTTAAACAAAACAAAAATTGTCCAAATCGGTTAATAAATTACGGAGTTTTGAGGTAACAAACATAAAAAAAAACAGCCGAATTGAGAACCTCCTCCTTTTTGAGGAAGTCGGTTGAAAAAGAGCTAGCACAGTATTTATAGAAAAAGAGAGGCTGTCCGACACACGTCGAGGGCAGCTCGGGGTGGCAGGCGGTAGCACTCGTGCGTCATCGCAATTCTCACAACTCCCGTAGGGGGTCGGTCGACATCCCGCAAAAATGACTGATATTGGCATATCGGGGACGGGCTCGATACCAACGCGTTATATAAGTTTTGTATTTACACAATATGGTTTGAAGCTTACTACAAAATGTCGCGTACAATTATTAAAATAGGTAACTAAATGGTAATATTCATTTGTAAAATGTTTCAGCTCTTATTTTCATCTTCTTTTCGCTTACTTTATTGTCACTGAAGGCAGTGGTAGCCTAGTCGTAACGCGCTCACTTGGGAAACCGAGCGAAGCGAGTTGAAATCCCGGGTCATGCACCTTTGATATTTTCATGTTCGAATCATTTCCAACATGATTACCACTTGTCTTAACGGTTAAGGAAAATCTTGAGGAAACCTGCATGTCTGAGAGAACCTAGCAAGTTTTCAAAAGACATGTGAAGTCCACCAACCCGCACTTGGCCAGCATGGTGGACTATGACCAGATTCCCCTCATACTGAAGGCGGATCGCCGGATCAGGCGGGTCGCCTGTAAATTATTATTCCTTTCATTTTTGTTATATTCTCTTTTTTTTACAATGGGTTTCAACTTGCTATTATTTTTTTTGGTTTCAAAAATTATCGAGCCTGGTCTAAGTAGTCTACATGACATAGACGTGCGTGTTATTACTTATGTACATATAAGTAATATGTAAGTATGTATGTGCGTGCCGATTTTATAACCAATGATTGAAGCGTTGAAGCATAAAAAAGTAACAAACAAAATAAACTCTCCCGTTAGCAATAGCTAATAATATATAATATATAATAGCATGATTCTTATTATTTTCATGTTACGAAACGCTTGATAGATACGTTTTGACTTAGGTATACAAGATTCGAACCTACGACCTTTAAAATTTCTATTTGACTACAAAATTACAAATTATAATTTATAATCAACAGTAGCACAGTACCACATTGATTCATTCCAAGCATTTGCGTAGTTGTTTATAGAAATGTAGCCACAGACTAGACGTGCACGAACTCTTGTGCGATTCTGTTCTCCTGGTACAACTTGCGCATGGTGCCGCGCTAGGTGGCCGATTTCGCTAACGCATTGCCGCCTCCCGCGGAGAAAACCACTTGTCCCGCCCGTCCCCTTCGTCTGCTTTAACTGTTCAATTTTTATGGATTTATGGGAGACATTATTGTTTATGTTTATTTATAGTTTTACTTAAAATTAATTTATAATTTACTTATTTTTAACTAACTTCCAAAAAGGAAGAGGTTCTCAATGTGTCGGAGTCTTTTTTTTTTAATATGTATGTCTGTCTATATATATGTATTATATGTATGACTTTAAAGTTATATATATATGTGTGTATATATATATATATATATATATATATATATATATATATATATATATATATATGTGTATATATATAGTGTATCAACTATCTGGTATCTATAACACAAGTCTTAACTCGCGACTAGTCTATCTGTGTACTAAAATTTAATCTAAATCTATCTAGCCATTTCATACTGGAGTAAAACACATACATTCACATACAAACTATAACATTTATAATAGTAATACGATATTCAACAAATTAAAAAAAAATATCTTTTAAAAGCTATTTAGAGAAAAGAAATCACAACATAACCTGAGAATATCAATTACAAAACCCCATACGCTTTCTAAACAAATAAATAAACCCGTCAGCGGCCACAGATTAAATATATTGTAGAAGATCAACGAAACACGTCAAGATTTCAACATTGACAAAACCTTGGTAAAGCTTTCTCATGCGGATGGTCACAGTACGTATTACAAATGGAATAAATGCACGTCGCGCGACGAAGCGGGGGAGGGAGCGTGTGGGAGGGGGAGGCACGTGACAGTTACGCGACAGAGTGCTGAGTGCGCTGAGGACAAATGCAATTTTGTGTTTCCATCCGTATTTCAAACACACCAAAAAGATACAACTATTTATATTTCTTTATTATATATTACATAATAAAAATTTGTTATGAACACAATATTTTTTTGTTAAAACTCATTACTGATAACAGTTTACACAATCTCGTTTCGCCTCCCTCATTACTTTTATCTTATTTACGGTGTAAATAAATTTCATACACACTAAAAGGTTGTGGTTGCCAATAATATTTTTATCGCAATGTCAATAACCTCGCATTTTGCGCTCTACATTAATGACGTAGTTGGTAACACGTGTAAGCATTATTTTTGCTATCTAGATAGTGGATACGTTTGCGCGGAAGCTACTGACCTACCTATCGCGAAGGAAATATTACACATTATGTTTTATTTAATTACATTTGTATTACTAAATCAAAATATGTGGAGAAAATATGGTAAAAATCGACTCTACATTTGAAGTTACACCATAGATTTTTATTTATATAATCAACCTATTACTGTGTATGTATGTTGTCATTAGACAATGTACATGTGGCAAAAATAATGACATTTTAACATGATCCCAAACAAAACATGTCATTGTTTCATTCATCATTACACACAAGTGACTGACACAATATATTCGTCGCCATCAGATAACAAAAAAATATATTCACTTTTAACAACAATTAAGATTTTTAAAATCGTGTTAAGTTTTAAAGTTATTACAACATTTTCTTACTCGTGCCGTCATTTACCTACTAACCTTTAGTATGACATGATTCTTGTAGTGTTACATTTTGACCCTGAACGCATATCGTGTTAGGATCGACCCTCATTCAATATTTCCTGGAGAACAAGTTTTGTCATAGGTAATGATACTGTAGTATGTAGGTATACTAAAATCAAATCAAACCCTGGAAAAATCTACCAAGCCATGGCTGACTCTTTGGGAAATCATGATTAAATTAAACAAGGCATACAGGAATGGTTTCGTTTCATGGCCCACGTTACACATAATATAATAGCAGATTAATATTCAGACGCGTGTCTACTCATTACATGGAGGTCGGCAATAAAACCAGTTCTAGAAACGAAATGGATGGATAGCGTCGTCTTACCCGTGATAATTTACGAACGTCTAAGCGGCCACACGCAGACGGTAATCTAGTCTTTAGTGCACAATGCTACGGTCCAAACTTGGATAAAAGTTGAACAGGATAAGGTTTAATCGCTAACAAGTGTAACAGAAGACCTTGATAAGATATCTGCTATGAAAACAAACGTGATCGCGGTAACCGATAGCTTTATGAGATAACGTAATTTTTTACAATTTCTTTAATACAAATACGAATTTGGTCCAAAAACAAATGAAATAGAAACTGGCAAGTTTGTACCAAACATAAACGATGGAACGATGAATACACAATATGTTTAAACACAAAAGAAAAAACTGTGTAGTACGATAGCATCTCAACGTTAAGTTGAATGCAAATTGCGAATATATAACTAACTACTGCATGAAGTTACTACTAAACATATTGTAAAGGATCGGATATACGTACAATGTATATATTGTTTACATATTTGTATACATTATAATATTATCTACTCTTCCACATTTTGTAAAGGCGAGTTCTAAAAACAGCATTTTTATATTAAAAACACAATATTTATGCCGTTCTTATTTCCAAATAGCAATCATCTGTGCTTTCGTCATAAATTTTAACTTAGACTTTGGATATTCGGTGATGTAAATAAATATACTATCGAGTACTACCCGGTGGCTAGAAACTCTTAAAACATTTATTATGTAACTTCAAACAGACACAACAGCGTACATTTTTATTGGATTTCTACAAAGTATTTGCGTCTGTCAGTTGCGTAAAACTATATTATTTCACGCTATAAATGTCATAAACAATGATGTAGTAGAAAAAGAGAAAAGCAGTTTTTTGTCTTTAGTTCACATTTTTGATGTGGAGAATGAAATACTCGGTAAATTAACACCAATTTTAAACCCTTGCAGGTAGTTATTAGCGACACTATTAGAATCGAAAATAAAATGTTGATATTTCCACTAGTTAACACCTCCAGGTAAATTTTTAAGAGATTAATTAAATTTCTAAGAAATCTATTGTTAACTGTAACGCCGGCGTATCCGCGGCCGTGGAGGGATTAAAAACAAGACAATGAAATGTTATTGTAAACAAAAACAGAAATATGGTCGTATCGACCTTGTGATCACCGCCTTGACGTTTTCGACCTTACACCACAAAAACGTCTCCTGTCCTTACTTCAAGTAAGAAATTACAATTTATATAGCAATACAAGATAATAATAACAATATTAGTAACGAAACTATATTAGAAAAAATATTTTGTATTCGTAAATAAATAATCAAAATATTGATACGCATTGTAAACTGCGAAAACATAGCGTTGGGAACAAAAAAGGTTTTGAACATGTATAATGATTAAAAAAATTAAAGGTTTTTAGAAAATATCCTCGATAACTTTAAGACATTTGTCCACAATATATTTTCTATCTAATAAAAATATTGCAGGCTTACATAACACAGCGTTTGTTAGTGCAAGTGAACAGTAATAATACAGCGAGAGTAATAAACGGTTTTATCTTTATATCGTGATTCACGTACACGCATCCATTAAATTTCTAATTTATAACACGGCTTTTGTATAAATGAATCATTGATTTTTGATAACATTCCTAACCATATCGAACAGTTGGAACTTACCCAAGTACTCTTTGATCCACTTCTTTTTTGGAGGCCTTGCGATCTTTTGCATATCCTTTACTTCTTCCTTTACGGCTTGGACAGCCGAGGGGGTTGGTTTCTCGACAGAAGTTATGGGTACTGGTGCCAAGGGAGTAATCACTGGCTGAGGAAACCCATAGCCGTTAACTGTGTGGCCGTTCGGATGAAACTGTTTATACGTTTTCAACATGATGGGAATCGGTTCGACTATGCTACCGAACTCTGTCTCCCTAGTATTAATCGCAATGGTGTGTAACGTGTCTGAGTAAAACGCCTCCCCGGGCGCACTCATCGTACCAAATAGTTCCTGCTCAGCACGTCTCCGGTAACTGGCAGTGACCAAATTAACTTTGGTGGTTTCCATGAATATACCCATTCTATGTTTAGGCACAGTTTTTGTTAATTTCGCACTTCACTAGTCCGTAATATTACAATGGTTTTCATAGTCATACACATTATTAACTATAATAAATGTTCTGTTCATGTTTGATTAATCACTTGCTAAGTTTTATTTATATTATTTCTGTAGGAAAAGCAAAAAAATATAAAGGTACGTTTGCGACGATCGAAAGGATGAACAGAGGCCCATAGGAGTGTTACAGGTATCGAAAATATTAAGACAGAATAGCCATCCGAAAGCAATATGTAAAATCGTTATTTAAAATGGTTGACACGTAAGGTTTCTTCAATGAAGCGATACGTGACCCAGGAGTTTACGTAAGAGTTCGCCAGAAAACCATACAACATAAACAACAAATGGCAAAATTCTCAAAATGTCGTTTTTCGTCAACTTTTTTCTAGATTGGATAAGTTATTGTACTGCAAAAAACAACAACTGCAAAACAATTGAAACAACTGTAGCAAAAGAATGAAACACAATTTAAAATTCCGAAGTACTGTTTACAGGGCTTCGGTTAATCGCAAATTATGTAAAGTTTAATTTTCAATAGAAAAATGGGAAGATACTGAAATAAATTTCATATATACTAAAACTAATTCGTTGTCATAAAATATTCATCATAAGCCTCATCCTAGAAAAAAGAAGTACAGGCATAGAAAAAAAAATTGCGGCAACTAAAATCTTTCATCGAGAAAGGAGGAATGTCAATTTAACGGTTTAAACACGCATTTGAGATAACAAGACAAAAAAACGACATATTTGCGGTAGTTTCGAACGTTCAAACAATCATCATTAGCAATAATAATGTGTTGGAGCGGTCTGAAACAGCATTGTCAGAATCGATACGATTACGTATAAGATTGTATGTAAAAGTGAGAAAGCGCGAGTGAGATGGTGTATTAGAATGGGCGAGGTGGTCGTGTGAAGGCCAGCGGCATAGTGCGTCGATGCTCAACAAGTGAGGGGGGGAGTCGGCATGCACGGTGGCATGGCTCCGGGCACGTGCACCGTCCCTGCCCCCACCTCCCCCCACATTCCCCTCCCTCGCCCCCCGCACGCTACACGCAACTCGAGCCACTGACAGTTATCTCTACCTCCCAAGCCGTCATATTACCCTGGTACGCGGAGCAACCAAATTGGCAGACATTTTAATTCCTGACAAACGTATTGTAGAATCAAAACAAATATTTATTACGTTGTTTTCGTATACGAGATATTTTTATAATGGACTAGCATTGCCCGCGGCTCCGCCCGCGTTCAGAAGACCAAAAACCAAATTCTTAGGTTTTACATATTAGTATACTCTTATATTGCAGTTTTTGTATATTTTTTCAGAAATGAGATATTTTTCCGCGGTAAAAAGTATCCTACATAATATATGTTGACCCGGATAACCAGCTTTTATCATACCAAATTTCATCAAAATCTCTCCAGTGGTTTTTGCGTGATGCGATAACACACAGACATACAGACAGATAGACAAAAATTTTAAAAACTGAAAATGCGGCCTTTGTATCAATAATAATGCCTATTTCAATAAGATTTTCCAAAAAAAAACATTTAATGTACAGATTCAGCGTAGTTACAATTTTATTATGTATATGTATAGATTATCCTTTTGATAAGAATATACGAGTACGTTGTAAAATGTAAAAATAATGAATTAAATTATGAAATAAATAGAAAATCAAATGAAGCATTAAATGAACTGTTAGTGTTGCCAATGCTTGCAAAACATTAAAATTGTTTTTCGTTACAGAAGAACAATGGTTAAATAGAAAAAACATGTTTATAGCGTTTTTAATAACAAAAACATACAAATAAATAATTCATTAGAAACGCTACAAATTACTATGAATAGACAAATTATAAATGTAATGAAGTAAATTCTAAGAATTGTATTGTAATTGTAAATATTTTCAGATATTTACATACATACAAATAAATGCCTCTTCATTATAGAATATAGAGTAAGGTTAGTTCTAATCGTTTATTTTTTTTTTCAAATTAAACCTAGGTTTGACACCTAGGTGGAAAATAATGTCAAAATAAACGATATTTTATACATAGAATAATAAGAGAGTAGACTCTGTACATAATTTTTTTTTTTGGAAAATCTTATTAAAAATGCCATTATTATCGATACAGAGACCGAATCTATAGTTTTTAGAATTTTTGTGTCTGTCAGTTTGTCTGGGAACGCATCACGAGAAAACCACTGGACAGATTTTGATGTTTGGTATAATTATAGCTGATTATCCAGGTCAACATATACGATACTTTTTACTGCGAGAAAATATATCATCTTTGAGAAATCTATAATACTAAACGTTAAAACGTAACTAGGGACGAACCCGAGCGGAGCGAGTTTGAGTCGCTAGTAATATATACACAAAAAAGAACACTCTTACTACACATATAACTAAGTAGTCTTATAGGCATTTACGTCCTATTGTGCCTTCAACAATAAACAGGAAAATGTAATTATTACTAATAAATAAATAAAAGGAGTTGTAGTATGATAAAAATAATATCACGTTAATTTGAAAATAAAAATCAGATGTATTACCTATTGATATATGTACATACTGTAATATTTATAAAAAAATAAAAATCGATCAAGCGCGAGTCGGACTCGCACACGAAGGGTTCCGTACCATAATAGTTTTTTTTTACTTGCATGGCAGCCTTTTTGAAATTCGCCATCTTGGTTTTTTATTATTTTTCTTATAGCGGCAACAGAAATATACACTCTGTCAAAATTTCAACTCTCTACTTATTACGGTTCAGTATATACAGCCCTCCGACAGACGGACGAACGGACGGGCGAATGGACGGACGGGCGAATGGACGGACAACAGAGGCTTAGTAATAGGGTTTCGTTGACACCCTTCGGGTACGGAACCTTTGGGTAAAGAACCTTTTTAGATCGACTTCAAAATTTAAATTACATTAAATGTTTATCATTAGTACACCATTACTTTTCTTTTAATTTATATAAGACCCGGATTTGAAGAACAGCTGTTCTTCAACCACTAGACATTGCCCTGCTGTCTTGGACGCAAAATTAAAAGAAACTTTCACCCTATATAACTATTTCTAAACACCTTTCTTTAGTGCGCATTTTCTTATTTATATAATGCTGATAGTATTATATAATGAAGAAAATCCTGTGCTTTTATACTTATTAACGTAACATGAGCGATACATTGTTTTTCTGTCAGAGCTTTATTAATTCGATTGAAGAAAAAACAAGTTCGTTCTTAATATAATATTAGCAAATATATGCACAAAAGCATGTAAAGTGTACATTTAGCACATACATATGTAACCAATAACGTTATCGTTAGCCGTTATACACGTGCCGAGCGCGGGCCGGTAGCGATATCGAGGTAAAACACTTCGGCTAGAGCAACAAAGTTTTGCAGATTAGACAATCAATTATACACAAGCTTACGTTTTACGTTTATATGATCCTTCACACAAATTATCTAAAACAGATTTTACGTGTAAACTTACTATATATAATTTAGGTACTAATTAATATCAGAGTAAATGTGAGTTTGTATGAAAGAGGTAAACTCTGACACTACTGATCCAATTCTAAAAGTTCTTTCAATTATAAAAAGCTACTTTAGTAACATATGCTACTTATTAAGGATATATACAATAGACTACTTTTATATGTTACGTCAAGCGAATCTCCCGAGATATTAAAAAGTTTATGGCAAAAAGTACGCAATTGAGACTTACATAGAGTCGGAAAGGAGTAAGCATGTGGAGGAAGGATATTAAAACGAGAGAGAAGACATATGAGACTAAGAACATCGCATTTATACTGTCTTATTTTAACTGCCTCGGTGGTGTAGTGGCTAGCATATACGGCTGCACACCCGGAGGTCCTGGGTTCGAGTGCCGGTTCGGGCCAAGTTTAGTTATTGTGTCTTTCTGTATACTAAGCGTCAGTAACAGCCCGGAGTTGGGAAGTTGGCGGTGTTTCACCCTCATGCCTCGGAGAGCACGTAAAGCCGTCGGTCCTGCGCCTTAACTGTCACTGGTCGTGTCGAGTGGTCGTCCCACCAGAGTATGAGAGTGACAGGAATAGAGTGCACTTGTGTCTGCGCGTACACTTGTGCACTATACTTAATTGGCTAGTTACGCAGTTGGCTAGTCTCAATGAGATTGGCCGCCGTGGCCGGAATCGGTCAGGAGAAGATCATATTTTGCTCTACATTTAAGTATACGCATTTTACATTTTAGCTAGAACAATAATTTATGAATAAACTAGCAGAACCCGCGGCTTTGCTCGCGCTAAAGCTACAAAAAAAATCTAAAAAGGTAGGTTACATACAAACTTTTATTTCCTACTTATGGGATGAAATAACAAACGCGTATTTATTTCATTGTATTAAAGAGCATTATTATCAAGTATCAAGTAATTCTGATCATCATTTTTTTTTGGTTGTATTATAACGTGTTTTCCCGTGGGAATGAGATAATCTCCCGCTGTAAAAAGTAGCCCATGTCACTCCACAGCCCTCCACACTATCTCCACACAAATAATTACGCCAATCCGCCACTCCGTTTCGACATGAAAGGATAAACATACAAACACACTTTCAATATAGATACTATATTAACATGTAATATTTACTAGCCATTTGAAATTTTAACATGAATCGAAGCATTGACTAATATATGTACTATATTTAATAAATAATTAGTGTATTCTTAAAAAGATAAAAATATTTTATTCTTTGGAATGATTCTGAAAATTAATAAATTCAGTATAAACTTCACGTACTATGAATAATTTTACTCACAGCCGATAAAATAAACTTACAAATATAATTATACAAATACATATTGAATTATAATATTATGGTAAAGCCGTACGTACGTACGTTTGTCATCATATATCATCGTTAAGCCATTTCCCGTCAAAACTTTTGTTTTTTTTTCTTTTTATATGATAA